TTCTTTTTCTATTTTCTAAATTAAGTTCTCTTTTTCTTTATTTTATTGTATTCTATTTGCTGCTACTCTAGTATTTTATAATTCTAATTTGAGCAACTGACTCTTCCTTTGCCACTTGAGAAACAATGTATAAGTAACCTGTCACTTCTATGTTTCATTCATGGTTTTATTCCTATTTTCCTCTTGAACTACGCTTAAGAAATAACCAGTTTCTGTCTTTATTTTTCAGGTCCTTCCTCGAGCACAAAACCTCTATGAACTATATGCTGGCAACACGCCTCTTCCAGGACAGGTGGGGATTTGCTAAACTTAGAAATTTAGGACTAGATCATAAGATTAGGAGAAAGTACATACAGAAGAAGGAAAGAGGCTTCATAAAAATCTTCATGTAAAATCTCTGATAGAAAAGTGCCCCAGAAAATATGAAATAATGCCTCATTTTTCCAGAATTTATCATTATCTCTCAGCACTTTGTAACATTTCCAAAAACTAAAAATTAAACCATAAAGATCTGTGAGCAATCTTCACAGATGCCCTAATCGTTATTCTTCGAGGAAGGCTCTTAGTGCCTTTATACTTTAGGTGCAGTTTTAACAGACATGATTATCTGTTTTTCTAGACCAGAAGAGATTAGAACTATCAGATTAGAAAAAGTGGAGGCACAAAATACACTGAGACTTGTAAGAAATGACAACTAACTGATAATCTCAATACAAGGGAAAATGGGGGAAATGATGGAAAACAGACATCGGCATTTAAATAGCACAGCAGTCACAGACTGCTTAGTCTCACACACTTTTGTAGCCCCTGTGACCTAACCACGTTGCAGTACAGTTCCTTAATTGTTAAAATAAGGCACCCTAGTTGTTTAGAGAAACTTATATTATTTTGAGAATATATACGCTTTTTTCAAGGATTCTTAAAATAGATACCCAGATTTCAACCATTTCTTGCAATTTCATGATCTATTATTGTAAATAATGGGATTTACAATTTCTGTCTGTAAATGTGTAGTAATTACCATTGATTAAGTAAACACATTGTGTAGCTTCTAATCCCCCTCTCTGAAAACTTTGGCAAGGTTTCTTTATCTTTAGAGTTCAGATACTGTGCCAGGATGTGTTCTGCTATGCCATTTTTCATTATTTTAGTTTTGCAGTGGGTGAGTCCTTTCAGTCTAAACATGTAAGTCTTTCAGCTGTGGGAAATATTCCCTTTATTTTTTCTTTTCTCTCCTTGTGGAACTCCTATTAGATACATTTTGGCTGTATCCTCCATATTTCCTTACTGTTTTGATACTTTTGGTCTCATGTCTTAGCTTTAAATTCTTGGAGATTTCTTGAATTTTGTCTTCTAAAACTCTAAATCGGTCTTCAGCCTTGCCTATTTTATTATTTATTACCAGCACAGGAGAGGGTTGTTTGATTTATGTTTTTTTTTTTTTTTT